CAGGGAAGCTGTGGCTGCCCCATCCCTGGCAGTGTTGAAGGGCAGGTTGGATGGGTGGAGCAGCCTGGGCTGCTGGGAGGTGTCCCTGCCCATGCAGGGGGGGTTAACTAGGTAATATTTAAGGTCCCTTCCAAACCAAACCAGTCCTGGATTCTCTGATTCAGGGGTTCTGGGAAGAGACTGACATTACAATGTCAGTTACATCCAGTTTTAGAGATACCCAGGGGCTACTGAGTAAAGCTGTCTGTAGCTGCAGATGTGAAGCTGAAAGCTCTATTAGCATCACAGCCATGTTCCCTGATTAACTTCTCCACAGAAAAGTGGTCACTATTGCCAAATCCAAGAAGTTTCGGGATCACCACGGGAAGGTTCTGCTGGAGGGTCACAGGCTGATCAAGGATGCCCTGGAGGCAGGAGCTGTGCTGCAGACTCTCTTCTTCAGCACCGTGGGGCAACTGAAGGAGCTGCCTGAGGCAAGGCTGAAAGGAGCCAACTTAGTGAAGGTGAAATTTGAAGACATTAAGACCTGGTCTGACCTCGTAACTCCTCAGGGGCTGATAGGTGAGTTGCCTTAGAAACAGTCACCACACTGCTCAAAGGGAAACTTATTCCACACTTAGTGGATAATGACTCTCCCTTTGTAACCTTGCTCTAGACAGTGTGTCCAGAGTGGCACAAGTTGAGAGAATTCCCTTTTCTTTGCCCCATGTACTTGTGGAAGTGGCTCCTAGAGGGCACTGAAGGTGCCAGTGCTCATTTTTAACACCCCGTTCCTCCTGCTCTGCTGGGAAATAGTTCTTTTAAAGAGACAAACTCATCTTAAACTTCTCTGTGCTTTTCCTCCTGCTTTCTCCTGCACATCTTCACTGACATGTGTGGCAAATAAATGAGACACAGCCCTCTCCTATGGGTCTGTTAGTCAGAAGCCTGTGGGCACTTTGTCTCCTCAGGGATCTTTTCCAAGCCCAACCATGCCAAGATGTCTTACCCTGCTGCTCAGCTAACCAGCTCCTTGTCCCTGCTCCTCATCTGTGACAATATCCGAGATCCAGGAAACCTGGGGACTATCCTGAGAGCTGCAGCAGGAGCAGGCTGTGAAAAAGTGCTGCTCACCAAAGGTAAGAGCATTTCCCTGGGTGGGGGGGAAGTTTGGTTTGAGGGTAAGGCAGGGAAAAAGAGGTGCTTGAAGATGTTGTTCCCAAGGGTCTGTAAGCAGAGCCTGGCCCAGACATGATTTGCTGTGGGAAGCAGTGGCTGCTGGATCCATCCCTGCAGAAGTGACTGCAGCGTTGCTGTTTTCCTCCCTCCCCTCTCAGGCTGTGTGGATCCATGGGAACCAAAGGTGCTCCGTGCAGGCATGGGCGCTCACTTCCGTCTGCCCATCATTGCCAACCTGGACTGGGAATCCCTTCCTGAAAACCTCCCTGCTGGCATCCAGGTCTGCGTGGCCGACAACAAAGACCCCGGCGCGTCTGAGCGGAGCGGAGCTGGTGGGGCTGGTTCTGCTCCTGGCAACCTGAAGTCTCCTGTGAAATCCCAGCCCAAGGCTGCTCCTGAGCGTGAGGATGAGGAGGGAGAGGCAAGTGCCTGCATCCCAGAGCTGGCCACGCAGTGCTACTACCAGGACTGGACAGGGAGGACACCAGTGGCCCTGGTGATCGGCGGGGAGACCCACGGGCTGAGCCTGGAGGCGCTTCAGCTGGCAGCCGGCACCGGGGGGAAGAGACTGGTCATTCCTGTGGTGCCAGGAGTGGACAGCTTGAACTCTGCTATGGCTGCTGGCATCGTGCTCTTTGAGGGGAAGAGGCAGCTGCTGCACAGGCACAAGAAAGAAGATGAAAGGCAAAAGTTCCCTGTAGTTGGTTGAACTGCTGAGGTTTGGGTGCTGAAGCAGCATCTCTTCCCTTCAGTGCTCTGTGGAGTTAATAAAAGAGCAGCTTGGGCTGGTTGCTGTGCGGTAAATGAGTATTAAACAGCTCTGGCCATGTTGGAGCTGTGCCTGGATGAGGGTGTGACTCCCTGGTGCTCTGGCCACACGGTGATGCTCGTGGGAAGGGGAAGGCTGGTGGGGGGAGCCCTGGCAGCTTCCCACAGCCCGGCTGTTCCCTGATCTGGGGCGGTCTCAGCTCCCTCACCGCAGGGTCAGGGCACAGCTGCTGACACAGTGTTTGTGCCAGCCCAGCCAGGATGCTTCTGATGGTGTGTGTCTTTCCTGTCACAGCCCTGGGCTGCATGTCCTGGCTGCTGCTAGTGGTTTGGGGGTCAGAAAGGCCAGATAAGGGCCACTTGAATGGATCTGCCTGTGCTTGCCCAAACCCCGTGCTAACACGTGATGAGAGCAGCACCAACCCTGCCTGGGTCCCTGCCACAGGCCAGGCTGGCCCAGGGACTGGCTGCAGTGACCAAGCTGCTGCCAGGAGGTGGAGGACAACTCACTGAAAAGAGTATTTCCTCAAAACAAAACAGGAATCTGGCTTGGGGCTCTGCTTCCCACAAGGCTCCCTCTCCCTGATGGCGAGATGTGTCAATCAGCACCTCCGGGGACCAGGTTATTATAACAGTTTTATTACAAAGTTCCAATCACCATGTACAGTTTTTACAATGTCACTTTCTGGGGGCTCGGCTGTGCTGCTTGGGTTAGGGAGGGATTTTATTTAATTTTTTTTACATTTTTATTTGTGGGGTTTTTTGGTTATTTTTAAAAGAACAGCACCATTAACATTGGGTTTGGGACACACCTACAAAAAACAGCTCAATCAACTAACATAGAGGGGACAAGACAATTCATACCAGAGAAGAGAGGGAACAGGGAGAGCACGAGGGAGAGACAAGAGAGGGGAGGGCAGCAAGTCCTCCTCCTGGCTCAGAAGGGGAGTGTGGGAATATCTGCCATTGGCAGGTGGGTGAGCCCAGGACACGAACAGCCAGTGCTGTCAGTGCCTGGGATGGGAGGTGGGAAACCCACCTGGAAAAGTCTCACACCCCCAGGAGGAAGAGCTGGGCTGTCCCGTGGGCTTTCAGAGGTTGTCAGCAGTTAAGACTTTGTCTTGGCCTCGTCAGGGCACCGGTACTCAGGAAAGAAGGATGGGTCAGGGGCAGAGGGAACAATTTCCTTATTGCTTCCTTAAAGTCATTTAGTCAGCAGGGGTGGCAGGAAAGGAAAGAAGGGGGAGAAGGACAAAAGAAAAAGCCCCGAGAGCCCCATCCACTGCCTGATGCAGAACGTTGGGAAGAACACCATGCAAAAAGATCTGCCTGCTAGCTAGTGTCATGTATAAAATAACGATACAGTAACAGTTCTGGCCGGAGTATTAGAGAATATATCACCATGAAGCACAAGCGCAGTCTCCAAACGCCAACGACTCCCTGCTGGAAGTGCATCTCAAGGAGCTTGCTTAGGAGAAGGATTCACTGCGTAAAACAAGGCACCACAAGAAGGTTGGATACTGGGTTGGGCGTGAGGACACGCTGGAGAATCCACGGAAGAGAGACCTATTTTTAAATAACGTCTGTTGGTGCAGAAGCCCCCTTAGATGGGCTCGGGTTTTAGCTTGTCTGCTAGAAAGTCGCTGACAAAAGCTTCCACGATCTCGGGCGTGATCTCCTCCACATCCATCACGTACTTGGCCCGGGCTGACATGTCCAGGATGGTGAGCAGGGGAGCAGCCTCGGGCAGGTTGGTGTAATCCCGCAGGGAGTCAGTCATGTCATCCTGGAGGTCAAAGGAGAGGGAGAGAGGAGCTATCAGCAAAGCCAGGAAAACCAGGAGCTGTTTGCTGCTTCCACACTTTGGTCCATCCCAGAAATAGCTCCTGAGCACTCAGGCCTTGCACCAGCATTGCAGGGCCAGGAACAGAGCAAGCAGCACCCGCCTCGCTGCCTGTGCTTTGTATCAAAACCAAACTGGGCTGATTTATCCTGATTTATCTCAGGTTGGGATAAACCAGGCATTCCTCCTCCCACCCTTTCTGCACAGGGCACAGCTCCCAGCACCCCCGGACTGACCCACTGGCCCAGGCCACCCTGGAGCCTCTGGGGCAGGAGTATGTTTTGTCTTCCACAGCTCAGGGGGCTGGGGACAAGTGCTGAATGTGGGGACTTGCCAGCCCTCTGCCAGCACAGCTGCTCACTGGGTCACCGAAGGGACCTGGAGCAAACCAGAAAATGGGATTGGGATGAAGCCCCACTGGCAGATCCTAGTGTGAAATCCATGGGGAGTGGGCTGCCCTCCCCTTGCCCAGACACAGCACAGCCCCAGGCCAAGGGGAAAAACCGACCTGTCTCTGCCAGGGCTCTGCAACCCAACAAAGCCAGTGCTGGGCAGCTCATCTCCTGCTCTGGCCAAGCCCACGACCTGCAGCATCTGAAATCAGTCCCCTTTTCCATGGGCAGCAACTGGAATCAATCAGCCTGGTTTGCAGCTGGTGGCTCTGCAGTGGTGGCAGCTGCACAGGAACTGCTGTCCCCCCTCCCACTGCAGCAGTTCCTGGCGCAGCTGGACCACATGGCAGGGAAGGGCGAGCGGGGCTGGGGGCTCAGCCACCTCCCACCCCCCAAGCCCAGGAGCTGGGATACCTCATCCTTTATCCCATCGCCACAAATGGATGGAAAACCCTTTTTAATCAATGCCAAACCAGCCTGAAACCATCACGGCCAGAGCAGGCACATCCCATTCCTCTCCCGGTGACAAATGGGATGGGATGGAAGGAATGGGATGCTCCTGCTCTGGCTGTGGCTGAGCTGCTTTGTCCACGGGGGCCAGAGGAGACCCGGGGCCAATGCTCCCAGCTATTGAGGTGAGGGATGAATGGGAAGTGCTGGACACTCCCCATTCTTCAGCCCGGCGGCTACAGGGATGTCGGGAGCTGGATGAATAGTGTCAATGTTCAGGGAGGAAAACGCTCTGCAGGCTCTGGGGGAGGGGGGCATGTCCTGGACCCTCCCAAACCAGCCTTTTCAACAAGAGGCTTATTCAGGGGCGTGGAGCCCAGATCTGTAAGAGTGGTGGGAGTGGGAATGCCTGCCCGGAGGGGGCTGATGAAGACCGGGGGGCTGCGGAGGGCCCTGCTGGCATCGCACTGCGGCTGTGACGTGAGCGCGGAGGGACAGAGCAGGCGCAGGGACACGCAGCAGCTGCCACCTGCCCGGGCCCTGAGCAGCACCTCAGGATGGGGCTGGGAGCTTTTTTGACCCTTACACAAAATCTTCCTCATTTTCCAGCCTGCAGCAGGGAAAAGTGCCTGTGCAGGGGAAAGGGAGGCCAAACCCCCTTTTTCTCATTTCCCATTACCTCTAGCAGATCCCTGGCTCCAAGCATTGGTGCCCCAAACACCATCCCAGACACCAACGGTGTGGCCAGCTTAGGAAACAGCCCTCATTTCACAGGGGGACAAGGTGGGCACTGCAAGGATGTGCCCATGACATGCCCCACGGCAGAGTGGAGCTCGGACATTGGTGCTGTGCCCAGTGGTGGGAGCACAGCCTTGTGCTGCCCTACTGCCCCTCCAGCAGCCCCTGGTTTTGTCCAGCATCACCCACACAGCACAGAAACAGGTCCAGCCTGTGGGACTGGGACTCCCTGCCACAGGAACTCCTTAGGGAAGAGACTGGAGCACCAGTCCCTGCCCTCCTGCTGGGGTGGGAAGGAAGGCAGCAGCAAAGGAAGGCAGCTGCACCTTAGCAAGAAGGGCAGTGCCAGCTTGGCTGGGCAGAAACCCAAACTCCTGCTCATCTCCCCCTCCCTGCCATCAGGCCTTTCCACCTGTGAGCAGACAGAGCTGGGACCCCTTTGCCAGAAGGGATATCCAGCGATGAGTACAAGGGACTGAGCCAGGACTTGGGGCTGGCTGGCTTTGCTCTACAGTCCCTGACTAGCCGCAGCAGCTCCGTGCCTCAGTTTACCCACCTGGAAGGCAGTGACAGCAGCGCCCAACCAATCTCAGTCCTTGACTGGAGTCACTGCCAGATGCAGCCCTGTGCTCTCCTCCCACTTACCTCGCCCGCCACGAAGAAGAGCAGCGGTGCCTCCTCCTCTTTGGCTTTGTACTTGGCAATGATTTTTTCAGCTATGGGCTGGATCAGTTGTTTCGCTGCCTCCGACTCTCCATCATCCTCTGAATCTGCAGGGCACAGAGGTGGGCAGGCAAAAACGAAAGAGGCGAGGCAAAAAAGGAGGTTAGGATCAAACGGATGCAAACAGCCCAGGCACAGGCAGGTCTGTCCCACAGCTCCACCACGGAGGAAACCAGAGCCCGGATGCACAACAGGAACTTCAAAGCCGTGCGGCTCTGTAGCAATTAGGGAGCAGCTGAAATGTGCTTTTCATGTGAGACAGGGAAACACGTCACAGGAGAGCAGCTCCTGCTCCCCAAATACTTCACTGCTCGCTCCCTGGTGCCGCTGCTGAAGCTCAGGGACAAACAGGCACCAAAAAAAAGCGGCTTTGAGCAAAGCTGGGAGGTTTTGAAGACCAAATGAAGTGCTGATGTGAGGCTGCCTGCCACCCCTGCCCGCCACCCACCGTCCCGCCGCCCCGGGATGGCTGCCTGGCAGCTTTTCTGCTGGAGTCTCAGTGGCAGCAGCACCGTAAAGGAGGCTTTGATTTGACAGAGGTAGAGCAGAAAGAGATGGCAACATCAATCAAACACCAGCCGCCCCAGAAGTTCAAATACCGAGCTGGAAACAGGAGAGACTGCGTCCTTGAGCAGTGTCGAGATGAAATGATTTCAATTCGAGGACAACTTTTAGCATTAAAATAAAAGTAAGAAGACAGAAGGGAGGCCCCACGTCTCTCAGTCACACACAGCTCTCGTGGTCCCTGATGTAACCACCTGACGTGACCAGCTGGGACAGGCACTGCTCACACCCCAACTGCACTCTGCCCTTAATCTATGCTTCCCTGCCCTCCTCTCCAGCTTCTCCAAGTAAAGCAAGGGATGCTCTAAGCTGCATTTTGGGGTTCATCCTGCATGCAAGACAGTAATAAATACATAAGGGTTGTGGGGTGTCTGCAGGGATCGATTTTTCTACAAGACAAGAGCTGCTGGCAGCACTCCAGGCAGCCCTGCACACTCTGGCTAACCCAGCCCTAACCTCTCTGGGGATGGATGCAGATCAGTCAGGATTTATTCCTGACCAGCTCTTGCTAAACCTGCCTTCCCCTGGGGCTGTTCCTGCCTGGGCAGCACAGGGACTGCTCTGCTGGGGGCTCTGCCAGCAGGACACAAGCTGACCAGGAGCCCACGTCCCTGGGGCAGCACCAGCTTCATCTCAGCACATCACTCGCGGATTTCACTGAGTCCAGGCATCCCCTCAAGAGCAGAGCAGAGAGAGCTCTCCCAACGAGCTGTCTGCAACAAGGTGACAGAAAAACTTTGCTCAGAGCAAGATAAAAATAACTCTTTCCAGAGGCCTGCAGAGCCGGCCCAATCAATCAGGCCTGGCGTGCCCAGCCGGTCCTCCCCGCACGGGGAGAGTATTTTTGGCTCTGTGCTCATGTCCCCTGCTGGGCTGTGCTGAATAAATAATCAGGGAAAAAAGGAAATCTGAAAGGGAAGAAGGGAAAGAGCAAGAGATAGGTTATCAGTGCTGCAGAGAAGGGTGTGCTGCTCACAAAGGGCCTGCGAGGAAGCTAGACACGAGCCCTGCCCTGGGCCAGCCCCTCACAGGCTCAGGGCAAGGGGGGCTTCTTCAGAAACCCCCCACCACAGCCCCACAGAGCACTCAAGGGACAGACTCGTTCCCCTGAGAGGCCAGGACCCCTCAGCTTGCTCCCCTGGATGCTGTGTGACCCTCCTGCCCCCCGGGCTCAGCCGGCCGCGTGGCTCAACCCCAGCACAGCCCTTCCCTGATCTAACAGTCTGGCAGGGAAGTGGTGAGGAAGGAGCCAGCAGGGCTTTGGAGGAGCTCTAGGGCTGTTTCCAACTGCAAAGGAGCTTCATGCGCGGGTTAGCAGTGGAAGAGGGAGAGGAACTTTGGGGAAAATCCCACCGGGTCCTGCAGCCAGTGCCCCATGGGGGGAATACCCAGGGATCAGCAGACCATGCCAGAGGCTCTTCTGACTGTAACAGCCCCGCTCAGCTCAGGGATTCAAGCCCTGAGCTGTGGTTTCCAGCACAGAGCTGCAACCCCTCCCAGAGACACTTCCTCTGCCTCCTTCTGGAAAGTCACGAGTGCCTCAAGCTCCAGAAAAGGCCTCTCCCAGCTCCACCACCACCAGCAGCATGTTTCTTGTACTCCTCAGCCCCTCAGCTCTCCTCTCCACAGTTGCTGCTGGACCACCCGTGATCCAGCAGCTCCTCTCCACTGCCCATCGCTCTTCCATCATGTCCCTGGGGTGGCTGGGCTGGAGCTGTGGGAGACCCGTGGGCATGGGCAAGCTCTGACCAACCCCTGCGAGCTGCAGCAGCCCATTTCTCTCTTACAGGTGAGGCTCCAGGTCTGTCAGCCCCCTTGATTACCTCGAGAGGACTCCACAGGGACCTCTGTCTCCCCATGTCCTCTCTGCACCCCGCAGCATTGCTTCCGGTGATGGAAACAGGCTGATGTCCCTTCCCACAGACGCTGCCACCACCAGAGACAGGTTCTCATCCCCAGGGTCAGCTCCAGCCGAGCTGGCAGGTGGCCCATCCCCCTTCCCAAGCCCTGCTGCCCAAGGAGTGATGCTCCGTACCTACGAAGAGGACGAGGCAGGGGCCCTCGTTCAGCTGCACAGCATTGGAGTCCGTCAGCTCCAGCACGGGCTTGGGGTGCCAGGGGAACTCGCGGCACTCAACGTCGTTCAGCACCTCCACCCGCCCCTGCCGTGTGATCACTTCTCCCTGGGGGTCCAGCACAATGAGAGTCGGGATGCCTGGGATGGAAGAAAAACAGGGGATCAGCCAAAGCAGGAACCAGCCAGTGACAGGGTGTGGGGAGAAAGGCCTTTTCCTATCGCCTGGGGCTCTGGCAGGAGCCCAGCGAGCTCTGCAGCTCATGGGAACCAAGGTCCCTGGATCCTGTTTCCGTCCTAGCAGAGCCCCTGCACCCCAGCAGCCAGAGCAGGAAGCTGGGAGACAGGCTCTGGCATTGCCTTGCTGAGCCAGAGTGCAGGCAGGGGTCAGCACTGTCTGACAGTGATGCTTCTGGACGCAAACCCCTCCGGACTGGGCAGGGACCCTCCTTGCAAGCTCCTTCTTGCAAAGTGCCAGAGAGAGGTGCCTCCTCCGCAGGCACCATCTCCCTGCTGCTGGAAAAGCCCAGTCCCTGGTCAACAGGAACACACACAAGCCGTTTTGCAGGGTGGACTGCAGACAACAGCAGCCAGGAAGCAGGGAGGGCTCCTCGCCAGA